CGTTGTCCTTATGACTCAGAGACTTGGTGCTTTGTAAATTGCACTGTGTTGGATCATCTCATAATAAAAATGACAATTTGTAAGATTGCACTTACATTACACAGATGAGACATCGTTTCATGATTCATTCGAGCTTCCAAGGAAAGCCAATATGAGGCCGTTTTAAGTGTTTATCTATGATGGTCAAGTGGTTGGTGTGCTTTTATACAGCACTTCAGTCCTGGCAAAACCGACACAGGACCACTTGGCACTTTACAGAGCGTGCTGCTTTCAGCAAGAAGAAGTCACAGAAAGGCCAGTTCCAACTCTTACAACCTTTTCAGAAGAGTCCATGCTTCCATATGCCTCGTGCTGTATGGATACTTGACCATGTAGTATATAACTCCCTTTTCTGAAGCCGTAATTACTTGTTAATTAAAAACTTGTTTTTTATTAGTGGGGCAGTCAGGTGGAAGCGATGGAGATCAAGTTGAAAATGTATAGTTTGTTTTTTAAAGCCCGTTGCTGTGGTGCCATTATACTTCGGGGAGGACAAATTAATATGGAATTCGGCTTTTCCAATCCATGAGCCAGCAGGATTTTTTTAGGAGCCAGCTCCATTGACCAAAAACTAGAGAAAATCTCAAAAGGTAGGAGCCAGCTGTAATTTGTAAGGAGCTTTGACTACCCGGCACCTGGGGTTTGTCCGGACCTGACCAGTGTTATAAAAGGGATCATAGAAATTGAAAAGATTATTTACATCAAGCTAATCTTTTTGCATGCATCGGTAAAAAGAGATTTTTCAAGTAAGCTTTAATTTGCGTGCTCAAAAACAACTTTAGTATGTATTCCTATTACAATGCTGATGTTTTATCAGCACAGTATATGCTGGGACTTTACAACTACTTTAACTACCACCGGGCCGGCCGTTGTAAAACGTGTCTGAGCGGACGTCTATAGACGCCCGCTCAGATCTAGAGAGCGGGAAGTACCCGATATTTAAAAACGATAGGGGTCTTGGAGACCCCTGATGTCTCCATAAAGAGGACCTGTCACATATTTTGCTATTACATAGGGGGTTTTTATTAGCCCCCTAGAAGTTTAGTGGAAAAAAAAATTTAAGTTTCCCCCTCAAAAAATTTAAAGTTACACATAAAAAAGAATAAAAAAACAAAAACATGTTTTTAAAGTCCCCACCCATATATACACGCATGCAAAAATGCGTCGGGGGGGCATACGTGCAAAAACGACGATTGCGCCCATTACGCCGCACATGTTACATATCGCCGCGAACGTCGCAGTGAGAGCAATAATTCTAGGGCCATCAATCACTGATAACACTAAACTGATGAGTGGCAAAAGCTTTTAAAATGTCGCCTATGTCCAATTTTGGGTATGGTAGTTTTCTGTGATTTCGCGGGTGCGCACACTTTTAAAGCTTGACATGTTTGATGTCTATTTACCCGACGTGACCCCGACTTTTTTATATTTTACCAAACAACTGGGTAATAATAAATGTTTTCTATCATTATGTTAAAAAAAAACATTTCAACATTTTCAGTTTCCTAATTATAGTAAGAAAAAAAAAACAGTGGTGATTAAATACCACTAAAAGCAAGTTCTATCTGTCCCAAAAAAATGGTATAAAATTCATTTCAGTACAGCGTTGTATGACGAAATAAATGTCAGTCAAAGTACTGCAGCGCTGAATACTGAAAAATGGCCTGGCCAGGAAGGGGGTCTAAACACCTGGTCAGCAAGCGGTTAAGAGTATGCATCATCACTGGATGAGGATGTCTGTTAATGAGGAAAACATCATAATCTAAACCTAGCACCACTTCCTGTTAAGATAAGGCAGAATTAGTTAGGTGGACCGCACAAGACGTTTTTAGGTGTCCTCTAACTATGCAAACATTTGAGGCACAGATGGCTGACCTGCTTGGCTGTGTACTCCTCTTTGAAACTGTTTAGATACAAGCCCCACACACTATAAACAGAGATGCAAGTGGTTTAGGTTCCAGCCAGAGGTGATCCTGTACATCCATGAACGGTCAATTTCTTAGCACTACGGCTTTATAGATTTATTACAGCATGTATAGATAGCAGGCACACAAGCCTGATATCAAGTCACAGGACCTTCAGTCATTCACTTCAATGGCACTCTCGTGCCAAACCAGAACTTTTAAAGTTGAACTCCAGGCAAGTGAAATGAATATTATTTACTCAAGTTATGTTTTTATTTAGAATAATTAAACATTTTTCAAATTACAGCTAATATTTGTATTTCAATAGGTCACCTGGGAGACAGATAGCCAGGGCTGTTTTGCTTCACACAGTGCTGTCTGTCTAACACTAGGAGTTTGCTAAAAGGAGAGCAGAGTGATAACCTTATCCACATGCTGCTGCTCTTGCACTGTCCACTCAGTAGCCCAGTGTGGGTGTGAGCAATATTTCTAAAATCGAATGTATAATTGTTTTTTTTTATGTAGTGAGTCTGCCCATCACTTTCAACAACTTCCTGGTTTCTCAGTGTGCTTTGCATCTCTTTCCCTGATGCTTGATGTGATGCAATCTTGATTACTTAAGATTACATAGCTCATCATGCATTGCTTCCAGCAAGCAACGATAATGTTACCTTGTTCAGACAATGAATTGTAGCTCAGAAGGCAGGATCTGTGTGTGTGGTGATATAAGGAAGTGCATATTCACAGGGCTGAGTGAAATTGTGTCAGTGCATTGAGTAGGTACATCCTATGGACATCTTCAATTAGCAAATTTACAAACTTTTAGATGGATATGGTTGTTAGGAGTGGGATAGAACTTATGGAAATTCAATATAGAAAATCATATTTAGTTTTAGCTTTTGAACCTAGATACCCATGGAAATAAGCCTGTAATAAAGAAAAAGTAATCAAAGCAAGGGTAACCCTGTGGATCGTACACTGTAGTCAATGTACTTCCAGGTATGGTGAAGGGTTTTGTTAGGAGGAGGAGAGTGCAGATCAGAGCAGCCCAGAAAAAGGTAAATGAACGCACACTGTTGTGCTTACTTTGTAACATCTCTTACTTTAGCTACTTTATCCAAAGTAAAGGTTCACCAGGATAATATCATTGGATAAACAATAAATCCGTATAGCATAAGAAAGAGCGTAATGTATTAAGTAACTGAAAGAAAACCCATGGCCGTAATGTAGTGTCTAGAAGTAGGTCAAAGACAGCCAAAGGTGTTTTGCTTTATGAACAATTTCTTCACAAATATCTAAAGGAGAGAAAGATGGTTATTTGTAATTTTTCCAGCAGTGTGGGATGTGTACAGCGAGTGGTACACTTCCTCAATGTAGGTGGTATACAGCATGGCTCAGGATTTATGTGCAGCTCAGCTCGACCAAGATACTAACAAGCACTAGAGAGAATATGCTGATACAACCTGCACACTAAGTATGTATCTGCTAAGTGTTTAGAGAGGAGAAGGCGCGGTAAATGTGTAGGAAACTGAGGGCATGTTTTCAAATGCATGGAAATTCTCGTTAGAAGTAATTTTATATTGAATGACGCATACAATGCAACAAAAAGCCCATTAATGAAGTTGGCAAAATGCAGCCCATAGAAAACCCTTAGTTCATAACGTTTAATATTTATACATTAAAGTAAACCTTTCATAAAGCTGGGCAACCTAAAAAGTACATGCGATGAAATAATGTAAAGGCAGTGGATACCTTCAATGAAAATCACATGGAATAGTATCATGATTAATGAGATGTTAACCGCAATTTTAGCAGATACTTATTCTAAATGTCTTATGGTTTGGGAGCCATTGATCTCTTACTCCCAGCCACTGAGTTTTGATTTGGCTTTATAGAATCTTTGACTTTTCATGGCTTATCACCTCAGAACTTTTCACCTCCCTTTCTTTTTTTCTTTCTTCTTCCATCCTTTCTTTTTCTCTCTCTCTCTCTCTCTCTCTCTCTCTCTCTCTATCCCCCTATTTCTTCCTCTCTCTTGTTCTCTC